CACTGCAGACTTTCTTCCTCAACAACCTAACTGCCCCTCTCACAGACCACCTAAGTTTCCTTGACTCTTATTTGCTTTCACAGCTGAAGCAGTCCATGTAAGCGGATAAAAAGGGAAGCTTTAGGGGGCATCTATTCCAAAGGCCATCTGTGCCACCAGCCAGCTGCATGATGACTTAGACAAATTACCTACCTTTGCTGAAACCGGTTTTGCTCAGTGGATAGAGTGTCGGTCTATGTCAAGGGCATGTACGTTGGTTGCAGGCACATCCCTTGTACGGGGTGTGCAGGAGGCAGCTGGTCTATGTTTCTCTCTCATCCATGTTTCTAGCTCTCTATCCCTCTCCCTTCCTCTCTGTGGAAAATCAATAAAATATATATATATTTTTAAATTACCTACCTCCTCTGCCCCACAAGAGCCCCAGCTGTAAAATGGAGCAGTAACAGCACTGACCTGCCTGTCAGGGTTGTGGTTGCTCCTCAGTGAGATCACGCATGGTTTGGGGGCCCAGGGAATGCCTGGATGCTAGCCGGACAGCCATGTAGCTTGGCCTCTCTGCCTCCGTTTCCTCACCTGTTAGGTGTGACTAACAGTGCTGTTACCTCACAGGACTCCTGCGAAGAGTCCATGAGTTGCAGAGTGTGCTTGGCTCTTGGTGGTGGCTGGTGAGCGCTCAGTCAATCTTAATGTTTATGGCAATGCTGAGACAGAGACTCGGATGCCAGTCCCATAATGCGTTCTCAAAAGCAAAGGCTTTAAAATAAAACGGCCCCTCCTGGGGAGGCACAGGCCATCCACCTACGAAGCCTGCAGCCCGGCCAGTGTTGCTCAGTGGTTGAACATCGACCTATGACCCAGGAGGTCATGGTTCAATTCCTGATCAGGGCACGTGCCCAGGTTGTGGGCTCGATCCCCAGTGTGCGGCGTGCATGAGGCAGCTGATCAATGCATTCTCTCTCCTCATTGATGTTTCTGTCTCTCTCTCCCTCTCCCTTCCTCTCTGAAATTAATAAAAATATATATTTTTAAAATGCCCCCAGCTATTGCCAACTGTCCCTTGTGGGGGGGCAAAATCACCTCAGGTTGAGAACCCCTGCTCCAGCCGATGGAGTGTGACAGGCATGGTTAGTCGCCTGCTCCAAAGAGAGCCCTGGACTCAGAGCAATTGTCCTGGCACAGTGAGCGGGCCGGCACGTGGCAGAGCCAAGTGGCAGGTGGTCAGCTCTGCAAGCAGCCTGGCAGCAGCACCAGGAGCATGGGTCAGGGCTAGGACCCCATCTGCTGGGAGCCCAGCAGTCAGGCAGGGTCAGATCAAGCTCATATGACATTAAACCTGGGCACACCCTATCACTCTTTCCTTTCTTAACCAGGACCAGGCTGGGTCCAGGGTCTGGGCAGGGAGTGAGAGCTTACCTGGAAGGTCATCCCACCCCTGATGACTTTCATGGCCTCTAGCTGAAGAGCACAGGCTTGTGGGTAAGAGAGACCTGGTTCAAATCCAGGCTCTGCTGTATGGAGATTAAACCGAAAAAGAAAAACCCAGACACTGACACTTCAAACGGTGACCACCTTAGACAGGTTGCCTACCCTCTGAGCCTCTGCTTCCAGGCCTGTGATACAAAGACAGTGGCAGCCTCGCCTGGTGGTTGTAAAGATTAAACGTCCCGTTGTAATGACTGTGTGTGGCATTGCAGCCAGCACGTAATGGGCACTCTGTAAACGCTGCTGATTGAGTGAATGAATCCTTTTGCAGCCAACCTTTCTCCCCTGAAGCCTTTTGTTGTTTTAGTTCTCCTCTCTGGAATTTCTCCAGCTTTCCAACATAGGAAACCGCTGACTTCGCAACCAGAGGAAGTGAGTTATTCCTCTCTGTTAGCATCAGGCCTGGAAGATACTTAGTGCTTAACAAATGAAGTTTTCCTTCCTCGACAGGCAATGAGTGTGCTTTAGTCATCTCTATGTAGTCATAACTGACATGGCAGGTGATCATTGAATGAATGAATGAATGCATGAATATACAAAAATGTTGCAGAAAGCCATGGCCCAGACACTACCCCCGGATCCTCCCTAGGAATCCATTCCTGCATGGCATTCAGGAAGTCATTGCAGCTTCCTAGGAGAGGTGTCTTTACCAAGACACCGGGTAGCAGAGGAGGGTCTCGGGCAGAACTTCTGTGCCCCGGGCAGCAGTGGGGGACCCTTCTCTGGGGCCCACTCCAGGCTATTCCCCGACTCCCCCTACCTCCTGCCCCCTGGAACTGGTCCAGCCTTCAAGATTCTCCCTGCCACAGCAGGCAGGGGTGGGGCCCTCCTCCCTCGGGATGCAGCAGTGTGGCTGTACCCCTGCAGGGCCAACTACGCAGACATAGGAGACAGTGTAGTTAGTTCAGAAGACCCATGGCCCTCCCTGCTTGGCCTCTGTTTCCCCATCTGTACAATGGGGACGTGGCCATGCTTGGGACAGTTACATCCTTCGGTGCGTGGCCAGGGAGACAGGGCAGTCCACAGCCACGTTACTGAGCAAGTGACTCACATGGGACACCAACCAGAGACCTCAAGGCCGCCGGCTCCCCAGGCGCCTTGGTGCCGAGGGGCAGTGAACACAGCGTCACGTGAATCATCTGCTCCGAGACCTGGACGGATGATGAAAGCTGTGGGGCAGGGCAACAGTCAGATTGTCCCCAGGGGCTAAGGATGTTCAAGGGGGACCCTTCAGGGTCCCGTTAGTGGGGTGTGAGGGGGAATGTTTGTGAGAGCAGAATCTTTTCTAGAACGCCCCATCTCTCTTCCTTTCCAAGGTGCAGAGTTAACTGGCAAGTAGGGGCTTTCCCTTTGCCGAAGTCTGTGAGGACAGATGGGGGAGCACTAGTCTTGGAGAGCTTGGAGGAGCCAAATTCCCTCGCATCAGAAAAAGTGGCCCACCCGGAAAAGAGAGAAAAGAGGGGTGGGCGGCGGGGTCTGGGGTGAGGAGCAGGGGGAGGTGTGGAGAGAGGACAGCTCCATACAATTCAGGGTGAGCCGAGTTGCTCTTTCATTGAGAGGCGTGGAGAGAGGTTCATAGTGAAGGGCCCTGGGGAGTAACTCAGCATTTCAGTTTCTTCATCTGCAAGCTAAGGATAATAGAACCTTTTTCCTAAAGGAAAACACTTATACTCGTGCCTGGCACAGAGTAGGGGCCTTAGTGATGTGTACAGTGAGGATGGTGATGGTGGATATAAAAACCCGTGGGATCCTCCAGAGAATTTATATCACGTGGGCGGGGACGGAGCAAATGGCTCTCCTGGGACCCAGCAGGGTGCCAAATCCCACGTGGGCTGCGCGGCTGCATCTGCGGGGACCCATGCAGGCGAGACGGCCAACAGCCGGCAGGGCTGTCACCCAGGCTCTGCTGCGTCACCAGGGACTCCCCAGAGCCAGCGCTGAGGGACAGGGCCCTGTCTGGCCCCGAGGGCACAGGGCATCTGGCCTGCATGTGGCTAAGCCATCCAGAACTTGCTGTGGGCCGAACTCTGTCAGCAGCCTGCTTCTCATGAGGACACTTCCCCCCCCCGCCGGAGGCTCGGACCTTCCAGCTGGGCTGGCTCCGCTGGCAGGCTGTGCTCTGGGGATATTTTCAGATTCTGGGTGACATTCCCCGGCCCCTCAGCCTAATGGGTCCCAGATGCTCCCTCCTCCTCCTCAGCCTCTCTCCCTGCCGCTGTCCTGAACCCCTGCGCTGGCCTGCAGGGCTCAGTCACTACACCTCTTGCCTTTAAAAAAAAATTTTTTTTATTCCCCTTTAACACGATGGCTTCATAGAGGCCCGCATCACAGAGGCTGTTTCCTCCTGGATGGGGACCAGGACAGAGAAGCTGGCAGATGGAGGTGGAGAGAAGGAAGCCGCGTGGGGAGGAGCGAGGGGAAACATAAGGAGTCTTTATTGGCCGCGCATAAAAGAAGCAACTGGAGTAGCAGCTGTGTTAATGGGGCCAGGTCGCCAGGGGCTGGGCAGACGCACCAGCCCAGCTGGGAATCCCACAGGCCCCGGGGGTTTTGCAGAAATGCCTTCTCTACCTTCCCGCCCCACCATCCTCCTGCCCCTTTGGCAGCACATTTGAATGTGTAATTCTTGGGCATTGTCAGTAAGAGATAGGGCGATTGCTGAGGCCTGTGGGAGGGAGGCAAGTGGACACAACTAGAAAGAAAGGAGAGAAAATGAAAGAAAAGGGAAGGAAACGGAAGGGAAGGGAAAGGAAGGGAAGGGAAAGGAAGGGAAGGGAAGGGAAGGGAAGGGAAGGGAAGGGAAGGGAAGGGAAGGGAAGGGAAGGGAAGGGAAGGGAAGGGAAGGGAAGGGAAGGGAAGGGAAGGGAAGGTGGATAGACAGGAGGCAGGGAACCAAGGGAAGGGAAGGGAAAGGAAGGGAGAGGGGTGCGGAGGGAGGTGGGGCTGGATTGCAGAGGTGGGCGGTGAGAAAGGATTAGTGGGCAGTGACCCGGGATGGCAGCCGCCTGACTCACAGCTGAACAGAAACCAGGACAGGCGGATAGACAGGAGGCAGGGAACCAAGGAGAAGCCTCCTTCGCTCCTGCTGCTCCCTGCTCCTTTTCCACTGTGTTCCGTGGGAACGTGCAGAGGACACACGTGCTGATAATCACAATCCCGCTCGGTTCCGTGCACTCTTGACGTCTCAATGGGCCTGGGGGCCCACTGCCCTGTGGACACGAGCTGGGGTGCTTCCCAAGGAGCCCATTTTTGGGGGGGTGGAAGCTGAGGCGGGACGTTCGGGCCCAGCAGGGCTGCGCCTGGGGCCCAGATCTCTGGGTTTCTCATCCAATAATGAGAATTTGGAAATGAAATAAAGGGAGAAGAGATTATAATGGTGAGAGTGGGCCAGGAAAGTACAAACGTCTGAGACCAGATGGAAACCCCTCATGAAGAATTCTTGGACGCTGCTTCTAAGGCTGCCCTCCCCACACGTCCACCAGCCACACTGACCCCGGCATTCTCTCTCTCTCTTTCAGGACCTCCTGTAAGTAACCCCGGCTGCAGCCCGTTCTGGCACATCCGAAAGGCCGTGCTCCCTGCTGGTAACCGGGCCCTGGGCGGCGGGGGGACTGACCGCTGGCCCTGCTGTCTTCCAGGGGAGCCCCTAGGCCCTCCAGAGCAGTCTGCAGGGCCCCTCTGTTACAGACGGAGGACCTGGCCCTGAGTGGGTCTGCCTAGGGCCAGCCCCATAGAGTCTGGGCTCTTGACTTCATGCAAGAGAAATTTCACAGCAGGAGTCCAGGTGACGATGAGGGTGCATGCATTACAGCTGGGCACTGTGGAACCAGGAAGGGCTTAGCACAGAAGAAGCCACAGGAAACCCTAGGCTGGGCTGCTCTGGTTCTCTAAAAATGTCACAGGAAATAAGTGAGCAGAGGCAGGGCTGCTCATGAGGAAGTCAGAGCAAAGAGGACCTTGGAGACAGGGTCAGGCGGGGGAGCCCAGGATCGAGCTGCCGCTGCCCGTTGCTGCCCTGGTTGCAAGTCTCATGGGGACCCTTAGAGTAAGAGGCACACTGTGGGGGAAGAAGAGGAGGAAGGGGATGGGGGTGGGGGGTTGCTCCCAGAGAGAGCTCACACTGGGCCCTTCTTCTTGAGGGTTATATCTCTCTCACCAGGAATCTTAGGGGAGGTCCTAGGGGAGGGGTTCAGCAGAATATTCATCTGTCTCCAGGTCTGCTTCTCCGGGGCTTCCTCAGTCCCTGCAGCTGGTCCTGGTGTCGCTCACCTGGTTTTGCTGCTGTTCTCTCTGGGCCTGGAGCTGAAATACAACTGAGGCCTAGGTGTTCTCTAGGGCGGTGGCCTTCTGCCTCTGCCGTCAATTGCTTGCCCAGTTTGCCCAGCTCTCTGCCTCTGTTCCCACTTCCACTTGTCCTGGCTTACTGGCCTGCCTCGCCTCCAGCAGGTTGACACAGGGGAGAGGGCCGCCATTTTGCTCTCCACCCACCTCTGCAACCCTCCAGGGGCCAGACGGCGGCGGCCCCCAGAGCAGGCCCCAATTTCAATCTGAAAGGCCCGCAGGCTCCATTGTCCGCCCAGCTCCTTTGTCCCTCAAGAACCGGAGTCAGAGAAGCGCCGGGTATTAAGCAGAAGAAAGGGCATCTCTATTCGGTGTCGGTCCTTGGAGGCCTCCTGCCCGTTCAGTGAACAGGCCGGTGAGCAGCTCTCCGTGCGGGCGGGTCCTGAGGACGCGGTGTCCGCCCGCCGCGTGGGCAGCTCTGTTCCAGCCCCGGCACGGGGGGGCCAGTGGTGGCTGCTGTGGGGAGGGCAGTGCGGGCAGGTAGAGGGGGAGACGCAAACCATAGGCAGCACCTCGGGCTCCTTCCCCTGGCGTCGCGAAGGCCAAGGGTGGGGCGGGGAGCCTCGCCGTTGTTTCCAGAGAACCTGAGAAGCGTTCAAGGAGACCGGCCCCCGGAGTAACAGACCCAGAGAACAGGAGCGTGTCTTCTTGAGGACAGCACTTGATACCCCAACAAAAGGCCCAGGGTCACCAGGGCGGCGGGAGACGGGAGTTGAAAGGACCCAGCCCTCGGCATCAGATCTTTCTCAAGGTTCCCGAAAGCAGCCGGCCCCCGCCCTCCCGCAGAGAAGGCATTTCCATCCCTTTTTCGCTCTTGCCCTGTACCTGTGAGAGCGCCAGCCCCGTCCGTAGAGAGACGTGATTGACTCTCCCATGTGTGTCCCGGGCAGTGCACTGAGCCCAGGCACCCGCGCTGACGAGGCCGCCCAGCCCCCCGCCTCCCCGGTACAGGGAGGGAAGGAAATCGTGGCACTCCCTGAAAGGAGGGGGTGATTTATCCTGACGTGTCTTGGAGGACAGAGGTCAATTCCTGCCACCCATCTTCCAAAATAAACTCCGCCATCTGAGACCTCGACAGACCACCAGCTGGAACTAGGCTGCTTTTTCCCTTCTTTTTGGGCAAAACCAAAATAGTCTTCGTCTCCCCCACTCCCGGGACTTCCCCCGTTCACCTCTCCCCACAGGCAGGCAGCGGGGCTCACCAGGTGGCTCAGCTAGTGGGGAGGGGGGGTGAAGGGTCCCTGCCTGCCCGCCCAGAGGGCCCGCCCTCACCTGGATCGGAGCATTCTGAGAGCTCTGTTCTCAGTCAGAGAGGGCGCTGTCCCTCCTGTGGGCTCTGTGGTGCAGGACAAATGGTAGGGTTGCATCTGAATCTCCCCTTGTAATCCCTGCCCACCGGGGCACCCTGAAAGCCAGTGAGTGAAGGGGAGGAGCCCAAGAAGCTGCACCCCCATTCTCAGCTTGGCACAGAGGAGTCCTGAATCTTTCAACAACGGGGCTGACACCACAGGCAGGATGAGGAGGACATGGGAAGCTGGGGTGGGACTCGCCTCCTAGCCCTGTTTGCTCTGTTTCTGCAAAGAAAGAATGCCATTGGCCAGAGGTGAGGGGTAGGGAGATGGCAGCTGGTCGCAATGCCTGCCTGCTGCCCCCTGGCAGTGTCTTAGGGACCCCTCTTGGCGTAGCTCCATACTCCAGTCAAAAGACCCACGTTCCTGTGGGCACAAGGACCACCAGTGCCTGGGGAACACAGCCACGGGAAGATGGCTTTCAGTAGCAGCAGGAATCGTTTAAGTGGTACAAAATGTGTGGCCACCACTGCCCAACCCCTCCTGCCCATGGCAGACATTGCTAATCAATTAGGAGGCTTTTTAACATAGTGTTTTTATTCAACCCACTTGGGTCCACACTCATGCTGACATCTGTTAGCCATGCCTGCACTAGATTTAAGAGAGAATTCTTAATTGTGGGAACCATGAGACAGAAATAGATGACTGAGGGAAGAAGAGATGTCTCGTTCTCTGGAGGAATATAGGGAAATATATGATGTCCAGCTGTCAGCCTGGGTTGATTGTGATCCTTCAATGTGATCAAGGCCCTCCCCTCATTTTGTTCATGAAATTACAGAGACTTGTAGAGCAGAAGTGACTCCGGGTCACATAGCTGGGGGAGGGGCAGATATTACAATAACCTGACCTTCACACTCTTCACCCTCCCCTTTATTTCAGGGTCCTGTTGGGAGACCTGGCCTCCCGGTAAGTAGCTTTCGTTTCTTCCTCTGCTTCTGTCTCACATGCTCTTCCTCAACCCAAGCGCTGGCCAGGCTGGGTGGCTGCTGTCCTCCAGCTGCGGCTGGGTGAGCGGCCTCTCCCAGCTTCTCTGGCCCGGAGCTGAGGGGCAGCTCCCTGTACCTCCTGGGCCCAGACAGGTGGGTGACAGCACTCAGGTGACTCCCAGGCTGGGTCTGACTTCCAAACAATGGCCCTATAATGGAGGCCTGAGAGGGCATCCTCTTCACACCAGCTGGGATTAAGACCACGGTCCCTGCTTTGTCCTATGCCCTCTGGTGAGAGTACCCTCAAAAACTTTGTCTCTCTCCCCCTTACCATATCTAAAAGCTAGAGAGGCTGTGCCAAGTCACTACGGGGGCTTTGAAATAAAAGTAGAAATAATACTACTAGTCCCCTCTCATTGAGATCCTCATGCGTGCCAAGCACAATGCCAGTCACTCTTCATACATTTGATTTGTCAGCGACTCAATGAAATGGATATCATTGTGCCCGTTTTATTGATGAGGAAGCTAAGACACAGAGAGGTGGCATCCCTTGTCCAATCGTCCGAGCTTCTGTTGTAAACCTCTCGGGAGCCCACGCCATTCCGTACTGTTGTTTCCTGTGGTCCATGCTCCATGTCTGAGAACCATCTTTACAGTCTGCACAGGCGTTGCTCTGTAGGATGTAGCCTGGGACATACATGCATTAAGTACTGGATACCGTGGGCCCCCTGGCGGAGAGGGACTCGGCAAGAGGCTGTGGCCAGCCAGAGGGCCAAGCCGAGGTGTGGCTGTGACCCAGGGCAGGGACCAGCTTGCCCTCTCTCCCTGCGCCGAAGGCCACATCCATTAAAGTGCAGACCCTGTGTGCCTCCCTCCTGCGCCAGGTGCTCCTCTTCTGACATGAATTATACCGTAACCTCGTGGCTAATCCAACAGCTTCTAGAATTCATGTCCAGCAGTGACTTCCTTAATGAAATGCATGTGGGAGACTATTTAGCCTTGAAGATGGAATCTGGCCCAGTCAGGCCGAGCCCCGGAGCAGAGGAGGACGGGGGAACCGGTCCCATCAAACCCACGGAGGGGGAAAATCAGATGACTGGGGGAACGTGGGCAGACTTTGTTTTTCTGACAACATCCACCTTTAAAAAGCATTTGGGGGCGATTCACAGAGTAGGGGCTGCTGCGCATACTTTCCAGACTCTGGCCATTCTGCGCCTGCCCCAAACCCCGACGTTTTATGGCCGGGACTGCAAAGAACATTAGTTTTTAAAAAAGCAATGAAGAGAAACCAAAGCACTTCCTGCAATAACATTCAAAAGCCCGAGAGTAAGTGGGCCACGGGGATGTCACACCCGGCGGCCCCTGGGCCCAGTGTGGCCGCAGAGAGGGCCGCCGAGCTGCAGGCCAGGGTCAAGGTCCTGCTCCTGCGTCTGCACAGAGGACCCGGGAGTGACCCCCGGGAGATTTGCTGACGCTGGCCCGTTGTGAAATGCAAAATGTGGGAAGGATAAACATGCTCACAAAACTTGCACTTGCCCGCTGGGCTCCCTCCCCCTCCCTGCCATTTACGCAACACTCACCAGGTGCCAGGCACCGGGAGTGAAGGTTCCAGAGACCGCATCCCAGGGCAGCGGCCCAGCAGCCGCGAGAGAAATGCAGATGTTAAGGGAGGCTAAGGAAACGGACCCATGCTCATGGCCAAGGCCACTACTCTGCCACGCAGCAAGGGCCGGCGTGTCACTAAAGACGCCCTCCGTCTCCACAGGGTACACATCACGCGAGCCTGATTTCAGAGTCAGCTGCTACTCTCTGGCGCGTCCACATATACACTTTGGGGTACTAATTGTCCCTCAGTGCGGTCCGCAGACACAGAATCACCCCAGAAATGCCCGCCCCCTTCAGGAGAATCCACAGACCCAGCTCCACCTGCTCAGCAGGACAAACACCACCTGATTCATGGCCCCCGTCGCTTTCCGTCTTTGCAGGCTCCTAGCAAACCCAGGCCCACCCCAGACTTTATGATGTCTGCACACGCCTAATTGCAAAAAAATGCTTTCTTACCAAAAAGGGGGAGGCACCAAACGTAATAAGCAGATTTCCAGAGTGAGAAGATGTAACCCCTGGCTACAAAACAAAGCATTTCCCTCCGGGCAGCTGCAGCTCATGGTGCGGCCGCATCCACACGGCTCACGGTCCTTCCTGTCGGAGCCGGGGGTGGCCGCACCGAGGGGGTGTGAAAGGACAAGGGGTCTGGGGGGAGCGGGGAGTGTGGGCACCGATCCCGGGCTTTGGCAAAGACAGATCGGGGAAAGTGATTCACGTATCTGTCCTATGGGAGCTGCCACTCACCCTGCTCTGGGCCTCGAAGCTGAGTGTGACTTGGATCTAGGGAAGAAAAGCCTTGAACCCCTAGTGGAACACAGCGCCGGGCCTGCGTGCAGATAGAGATGGGGGTGGCTGATCACAGGACAGTCTGTGGGGGCCACATGGGCAAGTTCACGCACACGATGCCTGGGCACCGTCCCAGCTGCCCATGCAAACCAGGTCGTGGGTGCACAGTTCCCAGGGGGGCCCTTCACTTGCTGGCCCAGCTCCAGCCGCATCTAATTGTCTCTGCCTCATTCCTCAGGGCGACAAAGGTGCCATTGGGATGCCCGGACGTATGGTGAGTTGGGGCGTTGTTACCTGCTTGGGTGGCCATTGCTTGCTTCTCCACGCTGGCCTGTCCTCCAAACCATGACAAGAGGCTGCCTGCCCCAGCCAGAGGCGAAGGCAGGGGAATTGGACCTCTCCCAGCCCCCGCCCAAGTCAGCTGCGGAGAGGGACCGGCCAGGAGGAAAGGAGTTTTAGTTCAACCCTTCAGCTCCTCCAATATGGCTTTCCTCTCCAGAGAGTTGCCATGGCAAAGGAAAATGCCAAGAAAAAAGCATAGCTAATGCTCTTTGCCCATCACCTGGGGAGGACAGGGTAAGGCCCCAACCCCTCTTGATATTGATTGTGAGGATTCCCGCCCACTCCACCCCGAAGCTGGCAGCTCACCCTCCATTTCTAGCGGCTCCTGCAGCCACCACCACCACCACCACCCCAGCTCCTGGCAAGAGGAGCAAAAGATGAGAGGAATGCAGCCTCCAGGTGCTCTCTGGAGTGGCTTCGGAGCCATGTGCCCTAGACAGAGCCTGGAAGGTGGTGAAGGTGGGGCTTGCTCCAGGCAGCGCTTCTGAATCCTCACCAGGAGGCTGCGAGTCAAGCATGTGACGGCTCCTGCTGAAAGTCATGGCGAACGGGAGACAGGAGTGTTTGACAGGGAGAGTGTTCAGGGATGGGGAGGCCGGCACTGGGCCTGCAGGCCCCAGTGCTGGGACTTTCCTGGTGGTTTCCAGCTTCTGTGGGGCAAGAAAGGCCAGGACAGTCTCGGGCTGGCAGCCCAGGGCACTGATGGCTATACCCGGCCCCACCACCACCCTGTCGGACCCCTAACTCCTCTCCTGCCATTCAGCCTAGCTCCCAGGTGCTCCCTAATTACCCCTCTGCCATCCTTCCGTGTCACTCGCGTGCTTTTCCTCATCACTTCACCTCCTGGGCTTGGAATGGCATCCCAGTGCAAGTTTGCTTGCTGGTGTGAACCTGGTGCCCAGAGGGAAGGCACCCAGACCACAGCTAACACTGGCGAGTGCTAACTAACTGCATGTGGGTGTTGTGCTAAGAGCCTTCTGTGCATTGGTTCACTCGGTCCTCAGGTCCTCTCTAGAACCATAGGAGGTAGGCACAGTTCCCACCCCCATTTTTTCAGGTGAAAAAATTGAGGCTCAGCTGTTGTATCTTCCCCAAGGTCGCATGGCCAGGAAGTGGCTGATCAAGGCTTCAATCCAGACAGCCTGACTCCAGACCTGTGTCCTTGACCCTGGCAATGCTACTTCCCCTCCCCAACATTGGCTCTAAGGGGGGTCTGATCCTTAGGGCGGAGCCTCAGTCCTTAGGTCTAGGATCCAGGACGTTTCAGAGGTTCAGGACAAGGGGTGTTCCAGGTCACAGGACTTTGAGCTTGCCCAGGGCCCAGCCACGGCTCTCCCACCACCTCCCAGGCCCCAGCACTGACCCGACACTCTTCTTCAGTTCTCTGACTCCAAACACGAGTCCCCATGCTGTCACTGGGCCCTCCTCTGAGTACAGCAGGGAAAGGACATCCAGCCAGCCTTTCTCAGGGGCTTGCTGTGGGTGGGCCTACGCCAGGCACGTTCCCCACTGTAGCCCTCCAAGATCCCACGTTATTGGTGGGAATGTTGAGACTCAGGCCAGGGTTGGGGTAGAGTTGGCTTTTGTACCCAAGCTGACTGTCAGATTCTAAACTCTTCGCACCTAACAGGTAAGCTTCTGGAAACTCTACTTGGAGTGCGGCCACCAGGCTGCTGGGCACATTGCAAAATGAAAGCTGCTCCCTCCTGCTGCCCTTCAGGGCCTGCCCCCTCCTGCTGCCCTCCCACCCGCCTTCTTGGGCCCTGTGGACATGTTCCCCTGACAGTACCCATCTGAGCCTGTTCCTGCCCACAGTGGTGGGACAGGAGGCAGAGCCACTGGAGGTCTCCCCATTTCCTTCCCCACAAAGCTGTTTTCAAACTGAGGGTTTCCTGCTGCTTGTGCTACTTTACATGTGGCAATGGACCCATTTGGCTGCCCAGCAGTAGTCCGGCAGGAGCCACCTGATAAGAACTGGGGTGACCAGGAGGTGTGAAGTTCCTGAGGGAGTTGTCCCCTGGTTCACCAGGGGTGGCACAACTGGCTCCTAAGGATTAGGGTCCATGGGGCTGTCTATCCACTGGTCACTATGGTTACAGGGACCCTGGGCCATTACCCAGTCTCCTCTGCATCTCAGATCCATCCTCCATCCTCCCAGATATATGTGTACTCTTTTTTTTTTTTTTTAATTTATTGATTTTTTACAGAGAGGAAGGGAGAGAGATAGAGAGCTAGAAACGTCGATGACAGAGAAACATCGACCAGTTGCTTCCTGCACACCCCCTACCAGGAATGTGCCCACAACCAATGTACATGCCCTTGACCGGAATTGAACTCGGGACCTTTCAGTCCGCAGACCGACGCTCTACCACTGAGCCAAACCGGTTTCGGCTGTGTGTGTCCTCTTATCTGTCCTCCCACGGTGCTCCAACCCCTCTCCCGCCATCTTGCCTGGCCAGCCCTAAGGACTCCTGGTGTGTCTGTTGTGCTTGGTGCTCAGTTAGACTTCACACCAGCTAGATTCCACCCCACAATGCGGTCCCTGGGACAGCCTCCCCATGGCCACCCCACCTTAGCTGGGCACCCAGATGGGGCCATGGCTTCTCGGGCAGATTTTCCTACCTGTGTTTCTCTCTCTCTCTCTCTCTCTCTCTCTCTCTCTCTCTCTCTCTCTGTCTGTCTCACACACACACACACACACACACACACACACACACACACACGCTTGGAGAAGGCTAGGGCTGGGGCCACAGCCAAGCGCACGCGGTGCTTGCCAGAGGCGGGACCTGTCATGTGTCAGCATCTGTGTTTTGTTTTATTTCTCATTTCACGGCGATTTCTCTTGTGTGGTTGCTGTGCCATTAACACAGACCCTGTGTGTGCGCCTCCCTCTCATCCTTTCTTTTTTCTCTCCTCCTTCTCCCTGCACCCTGTGTTGCATGTGGCTGCCCCAGGGAGTAAAGGGCCGACCAGGCGAGAAGGTGAGTCCGCACGTTCCCCTCTGCCCTCCTGCCGGGCCGATGCGTCCACCCCATGGACTCGGGGGCTCTCAGAGGCCCCAGCTCAGCCCGCCCGCTGGCATGGCCCCCGAAGCAGAGCTGCCAGCTGGGTCTGCGGGCCCTCAGCCTCACACGCTTTTCCTAACAGTTTCCACGCCGTCAGGCTGGGGTCTTGGGATTCCTGGGCTGAGCCCCAAGCCTCCTGGCCAGTGGGTCTCCCCAACCTCCAACCCGCCCCCCCACCACCACCAGCCTGCCTGTGAGGCTGCCTGCGCCTGTGCCTGGAGTTCTGACTCCGGGTTTCAGGTGGTCACCCTTCCCAGAGTCAAGGAGCACACGTCCCTGTTTTGAGTGGGCTGTGGTCTCCTGTCCCCCTCCCAGCAGGCACTGCCTGGTCCTTCTGTCAGAGCATCACCTCTCATCCCATCCGCGCCATCCACCTTCATCCTCCTGTCACCCTCCCCACCCCACAGAACCCCCTGGGTGCCACCCTGGACCCAGGACTAGGAAGTTCCCGGCAGCTCGGCCTCAGGCTCAGGGTGCTGGGCCCACACGGCCCGTGTGTGTGGTGTCCCCACCCTCTGTTTCAGCAGCTCCAACCGGGGGGCAGGCTGCTGTCCATCGGCTGCAGGGTGGGCAGCCACTTGGGTATTTGGGGGTGGGGTAGGGAAGAAGACCTGGGGGCTGGAAACTTGGGTGGGCCTGGGCAGGTCGGAGAGGGTCCTGAATAAGGTGGTGGGGAGAGGCTTCTGGGGCCTGAGCAGCCATGGCTGAGCTGTGCTCCTCCCTTCTCCCTCCCCCCTCCCTTGTCCCCTTCCTTCCCCACTTCCTTCCTCCCTCCCTTTCTCCCTGTGCTGCCCTCTCGCCCACCACTGCGCTGACTCCTCATCTCCCACTCTGGGCCTGGGCTCCTACCACCCTCTTTCCCGGTCCCCACATCCTGTGCTCTTGCTACATCTCTTCTTGCTTTATCCCTCCTGCCTGCCGGCTGCTCTCCTCAAACTCTCCTGGATGCTCCCTTCATCCTGGGCCTCCTCTCCCCTGACCGCCCTCTTCCTGTGCATCCCCTGGCCCCTCTGTCCTCCTCCTCGGCTGCCACTCCACCCTGGCATGCTCCTCCTTCCCCATCGGCCAGCCCCTCCCTCTGACTCTTCTCCTCCCACCCCTCTCCCCTCCTGCCCTGCCCCTGGCTCCCCCTCCCTCTCCGCCTTCTCTCTTCCCTAGGGGGCCCCAGGAGATGCCGGGATGTCCATCATCGGGCCCCGAGGGCCCCCTGTGAGTGGTCTTTGCTTTTTTGGGGGGTGGGAGGGGGAGATGGGCAGGATGGGTGAGTTAATGAAAAGAGCTCGCGGTGGAGGCTTTGCCTCTGGGTGTGGCAGACGCCACATGTGACACGGTGGCCAAGCCAGGCTCGGGGCTGCTGTGGATGTTAGCAAGCGGCCTGCCTAAATATACCTAAATTACAGCCTCTGAATTACCAAACTGCAGCAGCTGCCAGGTGGCCCCGCTGTGTATAGCCAAAGGGGAGGATGTGCCCACTCCCACTAGGAGAGGGTGCTCCGGTGTCCAGCAGTCGCGCCTGGTTCTGGAAGCCCCTGGGGCAAATACCCAGGCACAGAGACCCTATCCCACACCCACTGCTGGCCCCGGGGAGGCCGAGCCACCCCGCGCCCTCAGAGGCTCCTTTTGTGCTTTGCCTGGTCCTGGGCCTTCCTCCCTCCGCCCGGTGGCTGGGGCTTGGGAAAGGCAGAGAAGATTCCGTGTTGATACGCGCCCTCAGGGGCCAGAGGTGACCCGGGTGCTGAGGTGCGAAGACATGGTGACTCTGGAAAGAAGGCCTAGCTGCTTTTCTCAAAGAATGCCCGAGCCACGGGGCTTTTATAAAATCACCAAATATTGCCCTGGCCGGTGTGGCTCAGTGGGTTGGAACATCATCCCATACACCAGTGGTGGGCAAACTGCGGCTCGTGAGCCACATGCGGCTCTTTGGCCCCTTGAGTGTGGCTCTTCCACAAAATACCGCGTGCGGGCGCGCACGTACAGTGTGATTGAAACTTCGTGGCCCATGCGCAGAAGTCGTTTTTCGGCCTGGGTGAATCTGTTTTGAAGAAGTGGCATTAGAACACGCAAGGGGCCAAAGAGCTGCATGTGGCTCACGAGCCAAGGTTTGCCGACTACTCCTGTACACCAAAGGGTCAGGGGTTTGGTTCCTGGTCAGGGCACATACCCAGGTTGTGGGTCCATTTCAGATCAGGGCACATACGGAAGGCAGCTGATTGTTGTTTCTTTCTCACATCGATGCTTCTCTCCCCAGGCCCCCCCCCTCTCTCAAATCAATAAAAATCACGTACTGTCCGGGTGGAAAGGACTTCAGCAGTGGAACGCACAGCCCTCTGAGAAGGGGAAACTGGTCCAGGGAGGGGAAGGGGCTTGGCCAGGGTCCCACACATAGAGGCTGGGGCAGGACCAGAACCCAGGGCCTCTGGCACCCAGGGCTCCCCCAAGCGGCAGGCCCCCCTCTCCATGTCCCGCTACGTGCTTCTCCTCACCTGCTGTGTACAATGAGAGCGCGAGGGGAGCTGCACCTTCTATTCCGGTGCCAGCTTCTGGGCATCTGAGGCTGGCCCAGCGGATGGGGGAAGCTCAGCCTGCCCCTCTCCTGCCTTCAGCGGAGCAGCCAACAGAAAGCAGGCGTCTTCTCCTCTACCCACAGGCCAAGGAGAGGGGTCAGAGAGGAAACTGCGAGGTTAGGGCTGGAGTTGTGATGAGCTAAGGCAGCCAGGGAGGGGCGCTGATGAGCTCTGGGAGCTGAGAGGTAGAGCAAGTCTCACTGCACATGGGACAGGATGGGGAGGCCAAATGCACCTGTAAGTCGGTCTGTGATAGAGTCTTGATTTCATAACAGGGAGAGAAATTGTTCAGAAAATGATATTGGGCCCATTGACAAGCCTCTTAGAGGAAAACAAAACAAAACAAACAAACAGAAAAAGCTGGATATTTACCCCACTGATTATATCAAATTTTAGTAAATTTCGAATGAATAAAACACTTAGATGCAAAACATGAAGCCCTAAAATACAAGGACAAGGCAGGAGCAAACATTTAATCATTTTTAAAAAATATATAATTCTATTGATTTCAGAGAGGAAGGGAGAGGGGGAGAGAGATGGAAACATCAGCGATGGGAGAATCATTAATCGGCTGCCTCCGGCTTGTGCCCTGATCTCCTGGCGCATGATCCACCACCAGCCGCGGAGCCGGGCTGGCCGGGTTCATGTTTAACTTGGGAAAGACCTTCAAAACACAACCTCAGACCCAGAAGCCACAAGAAACTATTGTTTGAGGAGACGGATACGTTTGTCGACTTCAGTGTAAAACTCCCATCTGGCACATTAGAAAGGCCATTGCCAAGGGGAGGAATGCTTGCAGCATGATTACCCAAGGGTCACTGTGCTTGACAAAGAGCTTCACTCAAACCAATAGAAAAAAGACAAACAACCTTGTAGAAAATATCGGTAAAGAATACAAACAGGCTGTTCACAAATAAATAGAAGGACCAGCAATAAACATCGGGAGGGATGTCCACCCTCAGGATAGGACTTGTTGTAAATTAAATTCCACTTCCAAGCCTCTCCGAGGGCCTTGCCCAGACCCAACCTCTCCAGTAAGGAGAGTCCCAGTTTCCGTTTGGTCAATGACAGCATTCTACCCAAGGTCCCTAAAAAGTCCTGGGCCGGCCCCGGGTTTGGCTTTGGGCTGGAGAGAGGCCTCCTGCTGCCAGGCAGGCTCTGTAATTAGCAAACCATGTGACCGTCCCCACCACGTAAACATCGGCCCAAGTGGGACTTGAAGATGCTTCTTGGAACCCTCTCCTCCCGGCCTTTCCTTCCTCTCGGCGTTCAGAAAAGTCCAAAGTTTACAGTGGGAGGTTGCAGAGGTCACGGTGCACGGGTTCCGAGTTTTCTGCTGGGTGCTATACTTAGCATCACTTATCGTTGAGAGCAGAAAAGCCAGGGGCCCTTCTGATACAAGAAAGGCATCTCTTCCCGCTTGTCCTTCTGGATGCCTGCCAGGAGCCCCTCCTGAGCCTGCGGCATCCCCCCTGCCTGGCCAGGGCACTCACTGGCCAGGGCCCACCTCCGACCAGCCATGCCTCAAGAGCAGAGGCTTCTGGGCACTTGTGTCCACAGCTTCGAGAATGATCGAAGCAGCTTGGAGATGTCCCGGGTTCACAGCAGATGGACAGGGTCCGGTTCTGACACTACTGTTTGGCAAGGACACGCCTCCTTGGGTCCTAAGAAGTATCAGGTTCAAAAGCAACCTGGCTTTATCTTGGTGCTTCTAGATTCAGTTCAACCCAACTATCGGCCGATGGCGGCAGCTGCCATTTCAAAGGGCTCCGCAGACATAACTGAATGTGCTTCCCCGTCCCTGTGAGGTTCTAGGGCTGTCCTCCAGGTGAGGTGGTGAAGACAGAGAGGTTAGACCACTTGCTCAGAGTCACACAACCATTGTTGGTGGAGGCGGCCGGATTCAAGAGCCCAAGCTTGGGAAGAGATTGTGGCCATCTCGGTCATGGAGGGACTCTAAGCTGAGGGCTAAACACGTGAAAGATGTGGTGTGTCTGGGGGAGGCAGGGGAGCCAGTGTGCCTGCGTCGGTGGGAAGATACAGCAGGAAAGGACTGAGGATGGCAGATGCGGATGAGTCGAGGATGGCCACAAATGGCGGGTGTAGACGAGAGCCATTATTGGTCTGGAGAAGGAGAGCGACAGCACTGGTGCTTCTTAGCTCTCCGTGGCCGTTTACCTCCCTACCAGCCCTCTTTCCACACCCACCCCACCCCCAGCCCTGGGACTGCACAGCTTCATGCTGCTTCTCACCTTGCTGGGCACATCTCTGTCCTGATTACTGACCATAAACCAGTGAACCTGCTTGCAGTATCCAACCTGAGCATCTATCTATTTCCTCTGCACCCCCAGGACAATGGGCACGAATGGACCCTGCAGATCCTGCAGATCAGATGGGGGTACCCAAAATTGCCCAACTAGGAGAGGCCTGCTAAGCGGGAAGTGAGCAGGCGCCCCTAGCCCGGCCTGAAAACATGCATCCGAACCCGCTGATAGCCAATCTGTCCTTAGATAAGTGGCCGTGAGTCATGACTGTAAACAAAAAGGACTTGGAAAACCACAGGTCAGGGGTTCCGTGTGCTGCCGGCCGCGTCCCCGATGTCCCCGCTCTCCATCACCTGTTTATGTGCCGAGGTTCAGGGCGTCCACAGCGGCGAGAAGCTCGGGGGGCTACTTCCCAGGAAGACCCAGAGGATGCTGGCCATCTCCTTTCCCCTCCCCCACCCCATCCTCGGAGGAGCTGCTACCTTTCCCCGCCCTGGCAGCCAGCTCACAGTGGAGAGGGTCTTCCCTGGACGATCACAAAGGAGGGGGAGGACGGCCAGGCCCCTCGGGGAACAAAGGTGAACCAGGGGCTAAGGATTAGTTTCGTCTCCTCCTCACCGTCCTCACTCCTCTCCATTCCTTTCAGGGCCAGCCGGGCACCCGAGGGTTTCCTGGATTTCCGGTAAGTGGGGAGAGCTGAGGTTAGCTGTGGCTCCGGGGATCCCTGGGCCTGGCTGGGTAACCTTCACGCATGGCCAGCCCTGCCCTGCCCTTCCAGCCCCGGTCAAAGGGCCCTCTCCTCAGGCCTTTCCCGAGAGCCGCCGAGGAGAGGAGCGCAGTGCAAGAGAGGCAGGGAAATGAGCGCGGAGATGGAGGGACGGCGGGACAGGAGCCATCAGGGAAGTCACAGGCTGGCAAACCCTGGGCACTGGAGTGTGGCACAGATGATGCTCTGCAGGGAGGATGCTCCATCCTCGAGGCAGTTGGGTGGCCGTCTGGATGCCACCCTGGGAGCCCAAGACAGAGCCCAGGAGAGAGGGCAGAGGGGCAGCTCTCTCCCACAGGCCTGATGCCTGCCAGTCCGGCTTCCTAGGAGCACACTGCCCACTGTTCGCGAAGCTGAGGCAGAGGTCTGCGTTGGCAATGGTGATGGCCCCAGAGGGTCCTCCTGTGGGGCATCTCAGACAACATCTCACTCCTCACCCTCGGTAGAAGGCCTATTAGTCTCATCCCCATTTTAGGATGGGAAACTGGCTTAGCCGTGGTCACATCACCAGTAAGTGGCCAAGCAGAGACTCGAACCCTCACTGGTGGAGTCTTACCCGCTGTCCAGGTGGCCTCTGTGGCAAGAGGTCTGGCTGCTGGGCCTTCACATCTGTCCTCTCTCTGCTTTCAGGGTCCCATTGGGCTGGACGGCAAACCGGTGAGTAGACCCTCTTGGGCCTCAGGCTCCTCCCCGTCACTTGGTCCCGGTCACTAACCTGGGGTCTTTTAGTCCTTCAGCCAGACCCCGATGCCTTGGAAAGAAGTTTCAGGTAGAATGGCTGTTCCTGGGGCAGAACATTGGTACCAATGGGAAGGGAGGAGGGGCCATTGGATTGGGTTACCCTTGACCCCAGTGGTCCTGCACCCGGCACAAGCCCACCGCCACCAAGATGGGCCTTCAGCGCCTGGAGCAAGAGCCACCCTAGAACGTGGCGATGCGGGGTGCTCCTGGAAGGGGGATGGGTGGGGAGGGCTCAGCAACTAACTCTAAACTCACTCACACTATTGCTTCCAGCACCGCCAGGGCACCTCCTGCATCTCCCATCCTGGTGGATGGGGACACACACACACACACACACATACACATACACACACACACGCCCAATTCTGTAAGGAGGTTGCTGCCCCATCTTGAACTCTCTTGTTCATTTCAGTCTTTTGGCTTGAATGGCACAAATGTTCACGGGAAAGGAGACCCCTCCCTACTCTTAGGAAGGGGTGACCTGGGGGGAACTCAACCTTCCAGTGCTCTCAGATGCCACCCCACCGTCTCCCTGAGCAGCTGGCATCCTCTTAGATGAGGGGCCTGGCTGCCCGCCCAGTCAGTCCCCTCTGCAGGCCATAGCTGAGCATGGGATGGCTGTGGTCATCATGTCACTCACCTCCCAGGACCTGGCGATGGAGGGAGAACAGGGCAGGGCAGGGCGGCTTCTGGGTGCAAACAATGTGCCGGGCACTCATGCTCTTCTCCTTCCAGGGCTACCCCGGACCCAAAGGAGAGATGGTAAGGCCCCAGCTTTCCTGTCTTCCCTCAAGGGGTGGGGCATCAGCCCAGCACTGCCTGGCCAACGGGCACCAGGGACAGGGAAGTAGCTGCCACCACAATCACCACCACCCCCCCCCACTGTGTACAGCGCATCCCCCTAGAGCCCCACATCAGTGAAGGGAGGAGAGGTGGGCAGGGGCTGCTCCACCTGAGAAATGGGGAAAGGGAGGCCCAGAGGGATCCATGCTTGGCCAACGGCCAACGTCAAACGAGTTAGAGGTAGCGCCCCTCCAGGATGAGCTTACATTCCGTGCTCACACTGGGGGTCATAGCCCCTTGGTTCACCTTTGTTCCCTCCAGCACCTCATCTTTGGCCTGGTTTCCTCACACCCGGCCTCCTCTGGCTGCTCCGGACTCTGGGCAGTCCTGCCCCTCTGGGCAAAAGCAGCCTCTGAGGAGAAGCCGGTGGAGGTCCCACCTTCCTCCATCCCCTTCTGCCTCTGCAGAGCCTTCAACCAGAATTTCCTCTCTGTACTGTCTCCCCACCTCCCCCTGCCACACCCCGCCCCAGGCCACTTCTTCCAGAAGGAAAGGTCTGCCCCCCTCGGGAGCTGTCTACTCTAGGGGAGGGGCCCGTTCTCAGAGGGGCTGCTGGGCCATTAAGAGCAGAGGGGCCAGCCCTGGCTGGGACCTGCCCTGCCTCCGGGGTCGGTCACATCGGCATTGTGAGCTGCCAGCTTCTGCGGCCAGGCCTGGGGCTTGTGCCAGGGGTGAGAGCAACAGGGCAGGCTCCTGTCTCCCTGCCCAGCAGGCTCAGGCTAGTGCCTTGCTCCAAGTGCCAGGTGAGGACACTCTCCATCCCCGCCTGGGGCACTGCCAGGGCATGGGAGGCCAGAACCCCGCCCCTGAGGGAGCAGATCACCTCGTAGATGGAAACGAGGCCGAAGGGATGCCATCTGGGAGGCCTGGGGTTCAGCCCCAGCTCTCCCGAACCTGCCATGGGCCCCCTGCAACTCAGCTCCCTCGGGACCTCAGCCTGTGCTCCTGGCTGAGGCCCAGCTAACATGTATTGCGGGTTTTCTTCATGGAACTAAGAACTGTACATATATCATCTCACTAAATCCTCAGCATGATCCCGTGCCAGGTGCTAGGGATACAGACAGCAATGTGGAAGACACTGTCCTTGCCATCCCTTAGCTCCCAGTGTCATTGGGAGGCATACATTTAAATAATCCCTGATTTAATTTAACTAATTGCCTTGGTAATTAGTGCTATGAAAAGGCAGCTCCTGAGCAACCTCAGTATTACAGCACCTCACCCAGGCTGAGGGTCTGAGAGGCGTGCCTGAGGATTTAACTAAGAGAAAAGGGAATGGGAAGGACGTGGAAGAACAGCTTGTGCAAAGGTCCTGAGGCAGGAAAGTCCTTAAAACATCCAGAAGAAGGGCGGTGACGTGTGAAAGTAGTAGGTGGGAGAACTGGCGTTGGAACCAGGTCCCCTATTCCGCTTTCCTCTCCATCCCAGCCATCTCCACTGCACACGCCTTTCTTGTGGCCCCCACCCTGTTCCTAAGAATGTTGTGCACATGTCTGAGGTAATGGAGACCAAGGCAGGAGTAAACTTCCATGTTGCCATTGTGGTCCAGGCTTAAGGGGCCTGGATGCCAGGTGTTTGGGGCATTCCTTCCTGGTGGCCCGGAGAAGTAGACATGATGGTCATGAGCCCCCCTGTTCTGTAATCTTGACTTCTTATTCCCACTTGACAAAAGGGGGGCTGGAGGCACAGAGTAGTTTGAGTAGGTTGAATAGTTTGCCAAAGGCCATACCACTTCTAAGTAAGAGAGCTGGGATGAAGACCCACGTGGAGAGATCTCACCCCTTCACCACGCCTCCTTTCTGCTGCCAGGACCCTTGGTCTGGAAGGAAAGGGCCCTTCTATGGGCTCCCCTTCCTGACGTCCCTCTGCCCCACCCCAGTTAACCTGCCAGGTCAGAGCTAATTCAGAGGAAGGGCGGGGCCACCCATCTCTCTTGAGCCCACACTGGTGTGATAGATCCCCTATCTGCCTCATAGTCATCCATCAAAATCCAACAGGCAATTAAAATCCTGTTTGACTTGGCTCGGGGATGCCGAGCTATTAATTCAATGCCCTGTCTAGTGTAATTATCTCGGTCTGCTTATCATCTGTCTGTCTCCTACTCACCTTCCTTCCCAGCTGGTTCTCCCTCTGCTGGGCGTCCAACATGGAGCTGGGGCTCACCCTCACGTGCTTAACCCAGGTCCTCACCTGTTAAAAGGCAGTTACCTCTGCCCCACCCACCTCAGAGTAGACCCAAGAACTTGATGAAAGGTGTAGACAGGATTGGGGTCCCATTGGTGCCCTAAAGGAAAGTGGGGACTCTTGAACTCACAACTTGTCCCATTGCTTACAGGGTGCTAAGGGTGGGAACCGTTCATTCCCACCAAGTGCTGAGAATAGTGCCTGGCACATGGGAGACACAACAAGCACCTTAGCCAGCACGTCATCCTCCCCTTCAAGGGGCAGCTGCTTGCAGTGGGAGCTAATTGGTGTCATGTGCTATTGGACCTTGAAATTTTTAAAAGAAACTTGAAATCCAGGTTTTTGTTGTGCTTTCCTTGCTCTTAAATGCTGGCAATTAAGTGAAAGAAAACTCTGTAGGATCAACCACATACCTCTGGGACCACGAGTGGCCCAGGGATCACCATTTGGGGTGTCTGACTCACTCCTGTGAGCCTGTGTAATCCCGAACCTTTGTTTATTTCTTGGCCCCTGGCTCTCCCTCGCTCATCTAGCTCCTCTCTCTGGCCTGGTCACTTGCAGTCTGGTTCCTGCCAGATGCACCATATTCTGCGGATCTTGATACTAAACACTGGGTTAGCCATATGGGCTGGGGTGCCACGTGGATTGCCCCAAAGGCCACTTGCTCCACCTGTGAACCTGGGACTTTTCCAGTCTGGTGGTTGGTCCAGCTGGCCAGCTAGGAGCAACAGAAGGCACACCCCCACCCAGAAAGATTGTCCTGGGAATCAGGAGCTCGTCAAACCCCAAAGAGATGGGCCCAGCAGGCGGGTCCCACAGGCCCTGAAGATGGTGGCTGGAAGGGACCTCAGGCCCCAGTAGCCGGGGCATTGCCTGGCCTCAGCCAAGTCTAAAAGCCCAGGCCCTGCCTCCCAAGGTCGAGCCCAGTTCAGAGAGTGTGGCAGAGTGGGAACAGCTGGGCCCTGATGGTCAGACAGAATGGGACTCACGTCCCAATGCCACCCCAGGCTGAGCCTTGTCTCCCTCGCCTCGTCGGGGAGCTGGAGCTGACGTGAGCACCTTCCTCACGGGCCAGTGGGGTGTGAGCTCAGCATATACGGAAAGCCAGCCTCAGGGTGGGTCCTCAGAGCCGGAAGAGCTTGTCCTCCCACGCCCTCCGAACCAGCCGTGAGGCGTCCACATGGGCTCCGCTCAGGCTCCTGACAGAGCCGGCCAGATGCTTGTCCTCAGAGAGCGTGGGTCCACCCTAAGCCCGGGCGCCTCTCTCAGGCCTGTAGATTTGACCAGAGACCCTGGAAGGAAACCCCAAGGTCCCATGCTCCTCCAAGGGGCCCAGGACCTGGCTTACGTCTTCAACTTCCCACTTCCTCTCTTTGGCCAAAGATTCCCCCAAAGCCTTAAGATAGATGGGCGTGAGCGAGGCAGGCGTCACAGGGCGGGCCTCCTTCCTAGCCAGGGGCCCAGAGATGACGGTGGGAGGAATGAATGAGGCTGGCACCTCTTCTTCTCAACCGTGCCCACTGGCAGGTGACGATGCTGCGATGGAGGGGTACAGGCCACACCCCGGGAGCCCAGGAAGACCAGGCGTGGGTGGTGGGGCTCAGCCCTTTTGACCCTGAGCATCCTGAGAAACTTCTATCACAACCCCTGCCTGGGCCAAGGCCTCGGCCGGCCTCCTATGCGCCCACTGACCTGTGTGTTTCCTCCCTACAGGGCCTGGCGGGTCCCCGAGGACAGCCGGTTGGTAATCACCCCAATGTTCCCCGCAGAGAGGCTTTGGGCCGCTGAGTTTTCAGCTCTAGTTTCTAACGCTCTCCTCTCCATCTCTTCATAGGGGCCCCAAGGAGAGAAAGGAGAAAAGGTAAGCCCGATGGATGGAGGTTTTCTAGAATTTTCATCTCAGGTAGGGTGCACACACACACACACACACCAGGTAGGAAGGGGTCCAGAGTGGTTCTTTTTAAACTTTAGTTCTTATCAGAACCAGGGAGGCCCCCAGGTGCCTGGGACAGATGAGAGAAAGGGGAAGCTGCTCTGGCTCATGTTCTGTTCCTGGGATCTGGAGTGGGGTGTGGGTTTGGGGTTAGCCCTGAAGCCTGGCCCTCCTCAGCCTCTCCCTCAGCCCCTCCCACCTGCCACCCCCACATGTCTCCTAACCCTGCTCCAGGAGCCGCTGGGATTTGGAGGTGTAAGTATGTAAACCACTCGCGTGGCCCCTGCCTGGCTCCCTACTCTCTCCGAATTTCTAATGGAGATTCTGCTGGGCTCACCCAGGTGGATGGCACAGGGACCTGGCACCCCCAGCTCAGAAAGGCGTCTTTGAGGGCCTTGATGCCACCACCTGCCTCGCCGTCTGGGGCATCGGGTGGACCCACCCAGAGGGCCAACCTTTTGGGCAGATCCCTCCAGTCAGGGGTGGAGCACAGCTCCTGTTCGGGTCAGGCGAGTGGTACATGGCAGTGGGATCCTGTCCGGGCTCCATGGGGCCACATCCAGGCATCTGGGGTACAGGGACAGAAGCACCTTGGCCACCCGGGGATTCTTTCACACTGCCCGTCGGGGGTGGAGTGGGGAGGGGAGAGGGGTTGGTTCTCCCACCTCAGAGAGCTCAGTCCTGGACCAGAGGGGGTCTGGTGAGCGATGAGTGTGCCTGGTGTGCACAAGCCCTGAGGTGCCCCTGGCAGACAGCCACCAGCCAGTGCCTAACCCCCTCCTCTCCTTCCTCTCCCCTCAGGGTCAGTGTGGAGAATACCCGCACCGGGTAAGTGAACCCCTAAAACTGATCAGCCTCATCTCCCTGGGCCCCCGACACCTAGAGCTTGGGAATAGGCCCATACGACGCCCCTGCGGCCAGCAGCCGGAGAGGGCCCTGGGAGCAGTGTTTGCCGGCCCCGGAGTGCGCCTGTGGTCAGTGAGTTTGTGCGGAGCCGGACTCCAGCTCGTGTCCACCCATCCGTGCGTGTCTGTGTACCTGCCCCGAGGTCTGGGCTGCGAGTCTCCCAGCAGGCATGTGTCTGTGACTCCGAGGGCCAGCTGCTCCCTCTGCCGTGTGGCTTGTGCGAGTCTGTGCGTCTGTGTGAGTGTGACTGCGTGTATGTCTGGCTGCCTTCCTGGCCGCATCACGGGACTTTTGGGTTAGTCATTGTTTCGGATGGCCCAGCCTCCATGGGAGGAGATAGCTGGGGGCAAATTGTACCATTCAAGGGTGAAGTCTCTGCTCTGCCTCTGGAAGAAGCGATGTTGGGCTCTTTGTAAGCAGAGAGGGGCGAAGGGTTGGGGGCTGAGATGGTCTGCCACTCTCCCCAGCCCAGCTCCTTCTTGCCCTGGCTCTCTCCAGGCAGCACAGCCCAAACCCACAGCAGGGCACCAGCCGCACTGGCAGAGCCCTTTTCCAGGCGGGAGGGCCAGGGCCAGGGAGAGGCCCGGCGACCTGGAAAATGCCCTTCGTGTGATAGATGAGCCTTGCCACTCTCAGGCCTGGGCAGGCATCTTTTGGTGCCCATTTCACTGTCCTGAGCCGCATTGTGCCCAGAAATACACACGTGGTGTGGCTCCCTGGCCGCCCACCCCTGCCAGGCAGGGGGACGAGGGAGGGGAGACAAGCACAAGCCAGACTCAGTGCACCAGGCTCCACAAGGCCAACAGGAGGGCATTGCTAGCAGTTTCCTGCCAATCAGGACGTTTGCCCCTGGATTCCTGGGCCAGGAAGAGGCACCGGGAGCCTTGAACATGAGCAGTGGGATTGGCGCTGAGGCCAAGGTTGGGCTGGGCCTGGGCAAGCCAGCCGCCGTGCGGACAGAGCCAGCCTGCCAGTGGCATGTGCCCCAGGGACGCAGGGGCCCCGGTGTTCCGGCCGGCCTGATCCCGACACAATAATAGAAGGTCAGCTGTGCTCATTTGAAACGATGGGCTCACGGGGTTGTTATGTTGCCCGAAAGAACAACAGCTTCGCCCTGCACAGAAGACAACACAACTGCAGGCGCTGTGGGAGTGTCACCAGACCTGGGCGAACGCGCTAGGGTGGGGGAGGGAGAGGGCAGGGACAGAAGCCTCCAGAAGAACCTTGGCCACCAGGCGCAGCAGCATAATGGCCATGGCAGTGTGGGTACAGGCCAGGCAGGGGTGAGAGCAGGGCGGGCGAGGCACTTGCTGTTCATTTGGAAGTGGGTAGGAAAGCAGGGGGCTTCTGGGGCAAGTGGTCGATTGGGAGTTTGCGGGCATCAGGGGGGCAGGCCTCCAGATCCACTAGGTGCCGGGAGATCCAGGCTGGCCCCTGCCTCTGTGGCAGCCTGCAGCACCTGCCGGGAGGGGAGCGGGGAGCGGGGGCGAAGGTTGGGATAGAGTCCACTGGGATAGGGAGTAGGGGAGGGGGGGCGAAGGTTGGGATGGAGTCCACTGGGACAGGGAGTAGGGGAGCGGGGGCGTGGTGTCTGCGGCCCTGGCATTCACTCTCCCCCTCGCCCTGTCTCACCACCTCCGTTCCCCCTTCCCTCCCAGGAGTACCAAAGCGGCTCTCTAGCAGCTCTGCACTCCAACCAGATAATTACCCTGAAGGTTTGTAGGTTCTCTTCCCGGAGGTCTCTGGCCCCGCTCTGCTGAGAGGCTCCTGGACGCAGAGGCCAACATTGCACGTCCGCGGGCCCCTGGTGGGAGGGGCAGGGGCTCTGGGCGCAGCAGCTGCCCCGGAAGGCGGCCATGACCTAGAAAGGCCATGATTAGGCTCCCAAGCCCCCAGCTGGGCACATTCTCAGCCCAGGTGGCCTTTGGTTCTGAATACCCATCCCAGGGGCCTTGTGGGAGTTCGAATGCTTTCAAAACAAAAGGCTGGTTAGATGCTATCTTTGTTTTAACGTGGGTCTAGCCACGTCCTGGAGCCACCGGGTGCTCCGCTGCATGGGCAGAGAGACGGAAAGCAGCAGGGTTTTCCAGAAATGGACGTCACACGCAATCCTGTGATTGCAAGCTGCCTCTCCCAAACAAGTGGTCGGACACCCTCGCCCAGCCTCTATTTTCCAAGCCATCCAGCCCCAGGGTGAGACCTCGGTAGCACTTATCTTGTGCCCACACTGGCCACACCCTCCGTCAGTTCAGCCCCCGGGAAACCGGGCTTGGCATTGCCCCTGACCACCTCCCCAGATTCGCTGACATCGGCCTTTCTCATTCAACCAAAAAGGAGCACCCAGAGGCAGCCACACACCAGTCTGGCTTCAAGTACCAATTTAGCTGGTCCTGTGGCTCCTACGTAACCAGAGCCTCTGAGTCTCCCGCCCTCAGCCCGGCAGCCCGTGTCCACCACCAGGCACGGGTGGGGCCCGCAGTGCAATGTTGGGTTGTGTGTCAGGCGGCTTTTTCGACCCAGCGTGGCCACCAAGGGCCAGGCCCAGGCGAGGGGGACCACTCTCCCTGTTGGGGGATGCTGCTGGCCACACCCCAAGGGCCGCTCCTCCTCTGAGGGACGGTGTACCCTCCAAGGCACGTTCAGCACTGCACCCCCGAAGCCTTGACAGTGCTGGGTCCATGCCTCCCCTTCCTGTGCCTCACACTCGCTAATCTCTCTTCTCTCTATCTCTCCTCCATTCCCTCTTGGCCGCCCTGACTTCCTGGTGACTTTTGGCATCCTCCTGAACACCTGCGACCTTTGGCCTCTACCCTCTGGCCTTCCAACTCATCTTTCTCCTCAGCTGCTGCCTCTCCTCAATTCAGTGCGACTGGCTCCACCCCCAGTCATTAAAAGGCGGACCTTCCAGGTAGCCCCCTTCCCTTTGCCCTGACCTCCTGTGGCCTCCCCGGGGTCTCCAAGAGTCTCTGGGCCTAAGAGGGGGCTGCAGACAAGACAGAACCTCACTCTCTTTTGGTTAAATTAAATTAGATAAAAATAGACGGGTCAAGGCCATAGACCTGGAGACACACAGATCCCCAACACCCACTGCCCATTGCTGCTCCGCTGCATGGGCAGAGAGCCACCACAACAGCCCTCACTGGTGCCAGCCACCATGTCCCACATTTCACAGGCCCGATTTCATCTCAGTCGCTCGACAGTTTTATGAATCGGGCATGGACATTCTTATTTCTCAGATGAGGAAGTCAAGGCTCAGGGACGTTGAGTGAGTTGGCCAAGGTCACACAGTACATTGCAGAGCACTCAGGCTCTCTCTCTCTCTCTCTTACCAGCTGTGTGATTTGGGGCAAGTTACTTAACCTTTCTGTGTCTCATTTGTAAAACAAAGCTAGCGACAGTTCCTACTGCATTGGGTTGCTCTGTGTGCATAGTACTTAGACTAGTTCCTAGCGCAGTTTGATTGCTCTCATTAAATTGAGGCTTGATGAGAAGGGGATTTGTGCCCAAGGTTGCACACACAGCAAGAGGCAGAATGAGAATGGGCAGCAGGTCTTCAGACACCACCTTTCCCCCCTCTCCCCCTCCCCCCGGCTCTCTCAATCGGCCCTACTCCCTTTATATTTAGAAATACAGATTGCTTAGCATCTGATCACTTCAAACCTGAGTTTGAGGAGGGAGGGAGTTTGCAGAGGGACTGTAGCCCACAATCAACAGGTGTAATCCCGGAGCGGCCCATGCCTTCTTCCTGCCTTCCTAACGCAGCGAGGCTGGGGAGGACCAGACCACAAAGAACAAGAGGCCTCAGACCCAGAGTTCAAGTTAAGGCACCGCAGCTTGATTCTAGGCCAGGCAGCCCGCGGCTCCCACCCACACCCCTAGCCTTCCTTACACCGTGCAGGGGGTACCCCCAAGGCCACAGGGATGCTGGAAGGGACAAGGCTCGGAGATGCTCTCTGCCAGCCTGACAGCATGGCCTGGCGCCACCATCTGCCCTGACTTGGAAGTCCAGGGGCCTGCATGTCAGGCGCTTCTAGATAAAACAAGGCTGAAAAAAATCACTCCAATTAACAACTAAAAATACAGAGGGACACGTGCTGGGTGTGTTATCCGAGCCTGCGTGTCCCATTACACCCGCCAAATCCTCGAGAGCCTCCATGTGCTCTGAGTGCTTACCCCAAGCATGGCTATTGGGGGGCGGGGGGGGGGGGGACTGGCAGCTCAGAGAAGCACCAGGCCCACCCCACTGTCATACCCACCCCTACCCGGGCCAGACCGCACCCCAGGAGAGCTGGGTCCTTGCTGTCCGAGCGGCCATTCACCTCCACCCAAGCGGCCGCCTCCGGCCCAGCTGCCTTAGCCGCATCAGCTGCTACTTGTTGAGCCCGCGCTGGTTCCAGGCGCTGTTGTAAGAATTCTACATGGATCAGCTCACGTAATCCCACGCCGGCCGCCGCCAGTGGCGGTCCAGCCGTCATCATTCCCACCTTTCAGATGAAGAAATCGAGAGGGGCCCAGGCCTGTGACTGCCTCCCTTCTCCAGAGCCAGGGGTGGGTGAGCCAGGACTCTGAGCTTCGCTGGCCCGGTTTCCAAAGCACAGAGAGAGGTTTAGCGGCCCCCGTGCTGCCCCCGGCAGCTTCGGCCTGTCAGCAATGGTGGGGCCTACAAAGATTTGTCCATTTCCTATCAATAAACCAATATTGACTTTACAGGCTCTGTCAAATACTTAAACACTGGGTCCTGTATTAGTGGAAACAGGACTCTTTATAAGAGAGATGATGTGCTTAGCAGATGGGACTGGAGGTCACTCCCAACGTGTAGAAAGTTGGACGGTGAGCCATGTTTGCTGGGGGCTTACTTGGAATGAATAGGAATAGTCTGGAGTTCTGAGCTGGGGTCCTGACTTCCCCCTGAATTCTCACATGGCCTTGATCAGGGAACTCAACCTCCCTGAGCCTGTTTTCTGTAACGTGGGGCCCGCTACCCTTTTCTGCACCTGCCTCCTCCACTGGAAGCACTCGGCGCCCTCAAGCATCTTCTCCGGGTGTGGCAGGATGAAGCCCGGGGCCCAGAGTAGCTGTGCCGGGTGCTATCTGCCCTAGGCTGTCCCAGCCCAGCGCTGGCTCAAGCAGGTGCTGCCAGAATCTTACAGTTCTCATCCTGAGGCCCTGCACCACTGTTTATAATCATCATTGCCCTCTGTAGAGTTTGCAGGAAGCATCATCAGCTCCCCTTTTTATATGGGGAAGCAGGAGTCAGACAGGCTATGCCGAGATCCCCCTGAGCGGGGTGGGCGGGCCTGGAACTCAGGCTGCCTGTGTTCCCTGCAGCCCGGCCTGGAGCTCCCACCCCTTCCCCCTCGGGCTGTTCTGTGTTAGGCTGTCTGCAGGGTGGGCCCCTCATCACATGACCTGAGCCAAGGTCATCCCTGGAGAGCTCACTTGGGATACCTCTGACTGGTCCCCAGCCCCAGGCTCTCTCCTCCTCCTAAGGGAACATGATGCTGCCCCTACCTCCCAGGTCCTCACCCATCCTGATGCAACTGGAGAACTCATGCCCCACCTGAAGGGGGCGCCATTCCTGCATCCAGTCCATGATTGCCCCCAGGAATGTGGGCCTAGCTGCCAGGGCTCCCAGTTTTTTCATCAGAACCCATCAATCCAATTTCATTTTATTTTATTTACTTAAAATCTCTTGCCCGGTTGTTTAGTGAGCCAAACAAAGGCTCTGACCTCTGACCTAAGGATCTGATTGGATCCTCTGGGCCAGATCATCAAAAATGGCCAACAGCTGCATTAGGAAAGAAGGGACTGCTGTTCTCATTCGGTGGCTGGGAGGCCAGGGTGCAGAGGGAGGACATGGCTTGCCACGCGGAGGGAGCGGAGGCAGGCCCTGGTCCCAGACTGCCTTGCCAGGCTGGGAGCGGGCCTTCCACGGGGGCTCACCTCGCTCACGCCTCTGCCTCTGCCACCACAGCAGGGCTGTCATGCTGGGACCAGCACGTCCTCTTGGGGGCCCAGTGTCTTGGCCATCTCCTTGCTGCCACCGGTCCCTGCATGTAGTCACCACCGCAGCAGCCTCGCCATCACGCCATCATCACGCCACCACCGCCTCCCCACCAGAGCCCACGCAGGCCTTCACTGGGTGCATGGCACTGGGGCGGGAACCGCTCGACAGCCCAGGGGTCTCTCTCTAACTCTTGTCTCCACGAATCTCAGGGTGAACAGGGCCAGGCCGGTATCCAAGGCCCACCAGGGCCCCCAGGCCCTCCTGGACCAAGTGGACCTATGGGGCATCCAGGGCCCATGGGGCCACCTGTAAGTACCACCTTCCTCTCTCCACAGCCTCCTCTCCCAAGGATTGTTCTAAGAATTCCCTGGAAGCATCCAAACTTCGCACACCCACCGGGAAGCTGTGTCCCAGCCGAATGGCCAAAGCATCTTGGCAAGGCCATTGCACATGGGTGGCCTGTGCAGGGAGCTGCCCATCCCTGCCACACTCACCTGTTGCACTCTGGTCCTAAAAACACGCCTTCTGGGGCCATGTCCTCAACTCCAGCCATTGCTTTCTAGGCAGGAAGTCACTGGCAGGCTACCTCCAGCTCTGCAGAAAGGGGAAAGTCTCCAGGGCCAGCTCTGATGGCTATTCCCTGCCCCCTGGGCTTGGGAGAACCTGAATTGGGGCCAGTGGGTTCTGACGGAGGTTTGTCCCACCAGCTGGCACTCCTAACCAACATGCCGTTCCTGGTGTGTGCAGGTTTCCCACTACTAAGCCACCAGCTGGAGGCCAGGTCAGCCAGGGGTTCCTGCACCCAGCCTGAGGATGGGCAGGGGCCCAGGGAGGCTAGCAGGCACCCCACCTCCAGGCAAGACCACACACAGGGGACTATTTAAGCCCAGTGGCCACCAAGTCACCCATTCCCAAGCCCCTGGCCAGGACCTGGGTCTTTCTCAACCCGATTTAGTGCAAGAAAGCAGCAGGGCAGGAGAATAACCCAGCAGGCATCTGAACTTCTTTGGAGAAAATAGGTTCTCAATCAATCCAGAGCTAAGAGGAATGGCATGTGTTACTGGAGGGACAGGGTGAAGGACAAAGTCTGTTTAATAATGTTTTCCCAGATCGCTAACACACAAACAAGCCTGGTTTTCTCTCTTACGACTGAAACCTCATACATTCATCATGAAAAGCTTGGGATATAGACAAAGAAACAGATTTAAATGGTCTCTTTTCCCATATTCAGAGTTCACCATCATTCCCATTTTCCTCCTCCTTAGATATAGTTATGACGAAAACCACAGTCTTTTTCATCTGCCATCATAAAGCTCGCTCTTTCCCACATCAGGCGACTCACAGGACATGGGTCTTAGGGCTCCTGGACCTGAGAGAGCAGTTAACGAGTTCCCTTCTGCGATCTATATCCTTGAACCTGAATGTTTGCACACCTAATTGTCACTGGGATGGAGCCTCCCCCCTCCCCCCCTGCCCCCAAGGAGAAATTGCTGAGTCATGACCTCCCTTCCAAATGGCCCTCCATGAGCACAGTCGCATCAGGTCACTTGGCTTCACCTCTAGCCCCTTAGCTGCCCAGTTCCCAATGCTGAGGCTCAGGCCGGGGTCTCCTGGGCTGGGCGACAGCTCCAACTGAGCGGCACCTGCGTGGCCAGAAGGGGGCACAGCGGGTGAACCGAGCTCGCTGGGGGCTTGGCTCTCCTGCCCAGCTTGACCCCCTTCGCGGATTTAAAAATATTTCCATCATTTCCCCCCAGGACCTCAGGGAAGGAGATTAGTCCCACTTTCCTGAATTTCTAGATGGGAAAATGGAAAACCTGAAAGGAAGTGAAATGTAGGGAACTGAAGCAAACCAAGCTGGGAAAACCAAGAAGTGCTCAGAATCCACTTCTCTGCTGGCTGGCCTCCCCAAACACATCGCGCTCCCACTCACTGAACCCAAGCCAGATGGTTTTCTGTGTTAAGCTTTTTTATAAAGAAGAAGTAAAACAGAGTGTTTTCAAACCAGTTGAAACAGCCCAGGCCCCGGCATCAGGGTTTCCTGAAGCCCATGTTTGCCATCCAGACCCGCTCCCACCACTGCGTGGAGACAGCACATCTTCCCTCGCCTCTCCCTCGGGCTCCTGGGTCCGTGCCACCTCCCAGCCGCGGCTGCTGTGGTCATGATGTCCGGTGGGACGGAGACAAAGGGCTCCCCCGCCGGCTGGCAGGGCCAAAGGCAAAATCCTGACTGGTGGCTTTCCAGGGAGGGGTCCCAATTAAGAGGTGGGCGGGTGGGGATCCGGACCAAACCACACTGTCGACGTAGCATGATGCCACTGACCTATTTTTCCAGTGGGCAAGCACAGAGAAGATGCCCACGGCGCCACATGGCTCCAGAGAGGGACACCAGCCTGGTGTCCCCGTGTGCCCTCAGCAGGCTTCAGACACCCGCCCCGGGTCCTCTGATCCGTTCCCCAGCACATCCAAAGCCCCTTACAGCTCTTCAGGCACCGCTCTGCCCCAATATCCCCTGTCAGCATGACTACCCTCAACTGTTTGCCTGTGGAACCCACCTCCACTCACCTCTCTCTTGCTTCCGCAGGGCTTTCCTGGGCCTCCTGGACCGAAGGTGAGGGCCCTTTGGAGGGGATACACTGAGCAGGTGGGAGAGTTCCTGCGGAGGAGGGGCAGGCAGTACTGAAGGGTTCTGTGTAAGGAGCTGAGAGGGAGCTGAGCTGAGAGATGGATCAGGCTTAGCTCTCTTCCAAACCACTGGCCCCCGGGGAACTGCCTGGGTCCCACAACCATTTGTGTGCTCGGCTGACCAAGTCCTATGGCTGGTCCCACCTCCAAGGAGCTAGTAGGCTGATTGGAAACTCCGGGTTGATACCCAGGACGCTGTCGCAGCATCCCAATCAAAGTGTTTTCCTCAAGGGTCGGACTAGAAGGGACCTTCAGGGCCGCCTGGTCTCTTCTGAAACTGTATCTGGAAGCTCATGATGTCAAACAGGCTCTCCCTCTGAAGCAGGGAACCTGGGGCTCTGAGGGTGAGAAGCTGCAAAGCCCAACCATTTTACAAATGATGCTGAGGTTCCCGGGGCAAAGTGACTGGTCCAAGTTTTCGACAGAGTGTCGGTGGTGGAACCAAAACTGAAACTCAGGTCTCCTGCCAAGTTGACTTGTTCTGAGGAGCAGAGCAGCCTCTGTTATTGTTCCAGGGCTGGCTGTGCGGGGAGGTCGGAGGGATTTAGACATAGGGAGGAAGAGAGATGGGAGTGTGAGGGAACCAGCAGGAGCTGACGTTTGGCTTTAGGCAAACACCTCTAACCATCTTCTCTTTTCCTCCCTCACCCCTACCCCCACCCCCAGGGAGACCCAGGGATCCAGGGGTACCATGGCCGGAAGGTAAGAAGTGGAGGGAGGGGAAGACCTCACCCCACAGCGATAACTCAAGCGGGTTCTCACCATGGTGCACACACACACAATTTTGCACAAACACTCACCCAGCATGAGCTTCATAATGCGTGTGAGGTTGGCTGGACAGAGGTCATACCTCCACTTCGGGTAGCAGGAGGCTGAAGAGGGGACAGGGCCTTGGGCAAATCGGTGGTCCAGCTGGACCTCTGACCCAGAAGAGTCTCCCCGCCAGCCTGGGTGGCTGTACCTGTCCCGAGGCACCTCCGGCCCTCCAGGCAGAGCTCCGTGTTGCGCGCGGGTAGGGTCCCAGCCCTGCTCTCCGGCAGCTCACAGGCCAGAGAGGTGGGATTCCTGCAGCAATAACCCCGGTGAAGGTTGTCTGTGCTGGTTGCTGCCATCACAAAGCACTGTGAATCCAGGGTGGGGGAGAGGTTCCTTCCAGGTTGGCTGGAGTTGGGAAGTCTTCTAGGAGGTGACAGCCTATGAGCTCAGTCCTGGTGAATGGGTAGGTTATCTGTTGCTGTGCAACAAACCATCCCAAACATACTGGCTTGAAATGACAATTTCTTTCTCATGATTCTGTGGCCATCTGAGAGTGCCGCTGGTCTCCCCTGGGCTCCTTCACACATTCACACCGCATGGCGGACGGAAAGGCCAAGATGGCTGCCTCCTCATGCCGAGTGATTGGCGCTGGCTGTGGGCGGGGTGACTCTGCTCTCCCTCCACTGGGTATCTCAGCCCCACCCCCACCCCCTGTGGACTAGACAGGTTTCCTTACAGAGCAGCAGGCCCAGGGCAGTGTTCAAAATGGGCGTGTCCCGGCCTGCTGGCATCACATTTTCTGATGTCCTATTGATCCAAGCAAGTCACATGGCCAAGTCATGTGGGCAGCGGGACTCAGCTTCCACTTCTTGTGGGAGGAGTGGCAAAGCATTTGTGGCCATTTTCAATCTGCCACTGGGGTCCTTCAGTTAGCAAATCTCAAGGGAAGTGGCATTTTAGGCAGGGAAACTGTTTGAACCAAGGCCCAGTCTCGGTCCTTACAGTACCTATGAAAACGAAAATAATCTGAATAAAAGTCACCTCTTGGTGAAGGCCCACCATGGTGCCAGGCTGTTCTTCAATGTGACCTGCATCGTTTCTGGTCCTCAGACCTCCCTGTGAGGCTGCACGCCCAGGTCTGGGCCCTTCTCCTGGAACCACCTGCTACGTGGAGCCCATCGGGCCGGCAGACCCCGGCTGGGAAGCCTCTGGAGACATCCCGGGGGAGGAAAGAGGCCGGACGGAAAGGGGGGCACACGGGGGTGGGGAGGGGGTGGAAAGGGAAGAACCACTCCTGAGAAGCTCCTTCCGCGCACTCCGTAATCCGGGCGGTTTTATGGGTGTTTGGTGGGTGAGATGGCGAGACCTGCGCGCTCTGTAATTAGTTCTGCATAAACGGAGACGTTTGCACTGTGTCAGGAAGTGGAAATTATAGCCCCCGCGGTTGTCTCTATCCCCTCGCACAGACTCACAAAATTTACTGCCTCCCGGCGCGGAGCAGATCGGTTTTCCCATTAGCAGCCACGCCGGTTCTCTGGAGCGGTGGGAGAGAAACCGTGGGTGGGGCCGGCAGAGGTTGCCCTGGGGTCGTGGCCGTGCCCGCAACCAGCATCCGTACCATGGCCGTGTTCTTCTGCCAGCTGTGAGACTGGTTCATCCAGAAAGGAGCTTGGGAGATTGATGACCTAAGAGGACTCGGCTTAGGGCTGGAGTATCAGGATGACAGAGGCCCTGGTCCCCTGAGGGCAACCATCCTGGGCTCAGACTGTGGGACAGATCATTCAACCCTGACTGCATCGAATTTGCAAGAAAACCACTGTGGTCCTGCTGACAGGGGGCAGCTCCTGGCCCCCAGGAAGCCTGCTCTGGGAAGAGATGGCTCAGGGCTGGGCCAGAGGCTCCGGCATGGAAGGGGCTGGCACGTGTGCTGACGGGAACTTTTGCTGGAGCTCCCTGTCACCGGTGTTCGGGTAGGGTCTGGCATGTGTTGAGCAGCTTCTAGATCAGATGGGAAACAGGACTAAAATCCTTTCAGCTCAGGGGAACTATGGCTTCCTGGGGACAGAGATTGGCTCCAATCTCAATAGAGAGCGACCCTGGCTTTGGAAGGAGAGTTGGGTCTCCTTGATTCTTTGTAAAGTCTTTCTTCACCTACACCAGGCTTGTGACAAGCATCACCACTTATTTTTAATCCTCAGCCAAGGCCATGTTCATTGATCTTCAGAGAAAGGGGGAGAGAGAGAGAGAGAGAGAGAGAGAGAGAGAGAGAGAGAGAGAGAGAGAGAGGTGGAGAGAAGAAATACAGACGTGAGAAAGATACATTAATTGCTTGCCTCCCATATGTGCCCTGATGGGGAATGAACCCAGGACCTTTCAGTATATGGACGATGCTCCAGCCGAGCCACCTCGCCAAGGCACAGCGCCACCCCTTTTAGATCTACGGGGAACTGAGAAGGCCCTTCTTCTCCGTGCTCAGCTCTTGCTCCTTGCCCTTCCTTTCTCTGTCAGACCACCCCCTCTGCCCTTCCACAGCGGCCTCAGTGGAGTCTGCAGGGGCTGTGAGCGGGTAGCTTCTTCTCATGTCACTCAGGCTTCTGGAAGGCCCCTCCTGCCTCCACTTCTCCCAGCCTGTCCTTGAGTCTGGCCAGTAGGTGTTCCCAGAGCCCAAGGCGGTCTCTGCACCCTCATGGCTGGGCTGGCCCTCCCTGTGATGGGATCCCAGTTCCGTTGTTACTTCAACAAAGCCCAGAGGGTGTGCACTGGGACTGGCGGCCAGCAGCAGAGGGCTAGCCCCCACTGACTTGGGGTCTTCCTCAAGGCCAGGCAACTCCCAGCAGGCTACAAGCCCCTGACCACCACCCAGCCCCTCTGATCGCCATGCCCAGGTTGTTTGCCTCCCGTCGGAACTCTGAGATGAAGAGACCAGTGCCCAAGGACAAGTGCGATAATCCTTCACATCTCTGGTTCAGCCAAAGGGCCTTCATTCCCTAGCTCCCTCGGGCCTTATTGCTGGGATGGGAAGCTAGGTCTCCTGAGGCCAGGTCCAGAGGCCAGTCTTCTCACGCTGGTGCCATCATTTCTCTGTTACTCTCCTCTCCCCTCTCTGCTCTCTGCTCGGAGGAAGGCACAGTAAGGAGGCGCCTGATGGCAGATGCCAAGGCGAGTTTGCTCCCCATCCAGGGAGGAGCGAGTGCTAGCAGGTGGGAACACGGGGCTGGGCCAGGGGCCAGGCTGTGAAGGGGGCCTGTGGGGTAACCGAGGGACCCTCACATCTGCTTCCGTTGCTGTGCCCCAGCGATGTGACACCCGTGTGGGAAGGCCTCTTTCTTCCAGCGTGGGGTGGAACTCAGCTCTCAGCAGAGATGTTTCTCAGCCCCTGAACTTTGCTAATGATTAAATCCATCCACCCCCTTGCCCCCCAGCAACTGGGCCCAGCCTGGCAGCCTCCCAGAGGCCAGCCGCCAGCAGGGCCGGCCCCACATCAGCCCCTCAGGATCTGAGCCCGGTGCGGCCAGCGGGCCCCGCACTGCCCCAGCCCCACTCCAGGCCAGCCCCGCCGCCTAGACACTGCGGGTATTGTTGAGCGCCCATGTGGTACCTATTTGGTCCAAATTTATGACGCCAATCTCCTTTAACTATGTTGCAAGACGCAACGTGTGTTTAAAACATTACAGCCCTGGCCCTCTTTCCAGAAGGTTGACGAGCATGGTCAGGCTGTGTGTGGATCACAAACCTGGTGAGGGCTTATCTCTAAGCCATCGGAGCTGGTCAGTCTGTCTCGGGGGGGGGGGGGGGGGGGGGGTGCGCGTCTGACGCAGGTGGTGGTCTGGGTGTTAAGTCCCCAGGTTCGCATGGAGGACTGGGGCTGAGCGCGTGCTCCCATCCGCAGCTGTGGGCTGTGCGTTTTCAGACCAGAGGAGGTGGTGATGTGAAAACCTCGTGCTAGAGCGACTGCTAAAGGCAGTCACCCCTCCTGGAGGCTGCTGGACTCCCCAGAAACAGGAACTCCAGGGGCGCAGGCCCATGAGCGGTGTGGTTGGATGGCTAGGACACTGAGGTGAGGGTGTAAGGGGTGGAAGCTCAGCTACCCCGCCCATCTCAGCCCTCATTTTCCGGCCACGCCAGCCTCCCCACCGCTCCTCAGTCCTCCTATGAGAGGATGTGTTCATTCGGAGCTGCCGGTCAGAGCAAGGGGCCATGTGGATGGACACACTCCCGTAGAACGGTACTTAGCATTATCACAGCTATGGGACAGGGCCTCTTCAACGTGCCGGTTTGTGTATGAGGCACTTGGCACGCATCAACTTACTAGATCATTATTACAACCCTCTGAGGTGCATTCTATTCTCATCCCCAATTGGCAGGTGAACAAACTGAGGTTCACAAAGGTTCTCTGGCCTGACCTTTGCCAGGAAGCAGTGGAGTCAGATCTGCCTGGCCCCAAAGCCCTGCGCTAAATGACTACCACCTGGGTCTTACAGCCCTGGGGGGCCCCAGGATTTCCAGTAGGCAGTTCCCCCTCCCCTAGGAGAAAAGGAGGTGCGCGTTGAGCTGTTTCCTTCTTGTGAGGAAAGGCTGTGGCTGGATTCGGGCCTTTCTCTGAGCCTCCAGCTCGCTGTGGGCAGCATGTGGAGCGCCGAAGGCATAAAGCATGGGGTACGTGGTGCATTTCGGTCGGAGAACCAAGGAAGTGCGGTGTTTTTTCCGCTGGCACCGATTTCGCCTTAGTGGTTCCTGCAGGGGGTTGGCATGGTCCCGGGCCTTCCGATAGAGCCAGGAGAAGGCAGCTTGGCTCAGCCGGGCACTGCAGCTATTCCAGAACCTTCCTGCACCCTTTCTGGCTCCCAGAGGATCTGTGTACCCCCAGGCTCTCTCCTGGGCTCCCAGGCAGAGTGCCTCATCCAGGTGGAGCGGTAGATACAGAAGCCTCTGGGATGGGGACGGCA